ATTAATTTTATAGTATGCCAGTGTTAAATATTTTTTTTTAATGTTGTATAGGTGAAAGAATTAAATGTTATCTCTATACTATTGATTTTTTTTTTACTTAAATTAAGTATAGCTACCAATTCGACTCTTGCAAATGTCGTAGGTTTCAATTTCCCAGAAAAGTTTTGTATCAAAAGTTTGTTTCCATTTATTTTGTGAATTTCAGAAAATATAGTATAGCATGGTTTGTTTTGTAAAATGCAATGTCATTTCATTCTACAATAGTAATCATTATGTTTCTCACTCATTACATATATATTGTGTTGTAGCTACTCCCAAACAATTTGAACAATTTATTTAGGCAGCAAGTGTTTCCACCAATAAAATAAAAAGGTATGCTCCATATAAGCTCTAAACCATACATATTCCTAGCAAGATTATTGAAATGTTTTGATAATAAAAACAGTAGAGTCATGTATATGCTTTCCATGTTACTCAATGCATTCTTTTGAGTATCACTTTTTTAAAACACCAATGAACTTTCCATAATGGTATTTCATTTTGTTTTCAGAATTGATTTCATCCAGAAGAACTGTTTGAACTGTGGACTGTTTTAAAATATTTTGCACCTGCTCAGAAATCCCTTCACAACCTGCCTTTGAATTTGAAAAGCTGTTTTTAATTAAATAAATTTTCTAGATAAATAATACTTTGAATTTTTAACAGTACAATGGTGTGAAAGTTTGAAGGCTGTTAAGATTTGAATATCTTTACTTGATTGTATTCTGACAGGCGCGTAACTGCCTATACGCAGATGTGTACACATCGTTTTCAAATTTAAAAAATGTGGGGGGGGGGGGATGAGAGAGAGAGATTTGTGAAAAGAGAAAAAATATCAATACCACCCAGCAAATATTTGTGTTTTAAATTATTTTATCTCGTACTGTTTCGATTCAAATTCAAATTTTATATTACCATGTCTTTATAAAAAAAATTGTAATGTTTCATTAAATCATTGCCACAACCAATTAAAACATTTATTAATTTGTAATTCTTCTACAACACATTGATAATTTTTTTTAAAGATCTTTGAGAAAATATCAACCATTGAATGCTGTGATCCACAAGAATATGATTTGAAATGTAACATTATTTTTGTTAATAATTGAAATTAATTATATTTGTTGCTGAAAGTTAAAAAAGAGTAGATGATACCAATATATCATTTTAAAAAATATTCAGCCTCTACAGGTACAATAAATTATTTAACTTTGTGTTAAAAACAATATTACTATGTCTTGTATTTTCTAAAGAAAATCGAAATGGCATGATTTTGAGTGAAATATTTGGTAAAACCCATGAGCTTTCAGGGACTTTGCCCCTACATGTAGGTCCTCATCAGGGCTTCGCCCTGGACCAACGGGGGTCTCAAAGCGGACCCCAGCCGTTCTCTGCGTACGTTTCACTTCAATTCTGGCTACGCGCCTGTCTGTGCTTTTGGATACCAACAAGATCTTAATTTCAGCATGTATATTGTGTTCACCTGTTCTTTAACAGCTGTGTTTCTTGATTACAAAGTTTTACTATGATTATCTTGTTTGCGCATGGATTGATAATAACTCAAAAAAATGAGACTAAAGCCCCCCCCCCCCCCCCACCCATGTGATTTGTGCTAAATACCCAAAAAGGTAAAACCTGATGTAAACACTGTTTAAAAATTTATTTTTACATGCAAGTAAGGTAAATGGTATCAAAGGAGCCAGAGGCAAATTGGTGAAGGGGGGGGGGGGGGTAGATCTGTAGAAAGGAAAACAGGTTATTAAATACAGGAGTAGGCACCCCAGTCCCTTCCTCCTGTTCTTAAAACTTTTAACGTAGTCTAGAATCACTTAACAGTTGATTATTTTGATAACTAAAATAATCACACATGTATTAAAAAAAAAAAAAAAAAAAAAAAAAAAAAAAAAAAAAACCTAAGTTCTGTTGGAGATATCATTTCTGTGTGTCTAATGGGGAAGAATAAATATTTTATCATTGATAGCGGCTGTCTATTTTGTATTACAAATGATTGAATCTTTCAATATTTTTAACCATGGGCATTTTCCAATTGATTTACATGATGTTGCGGCAAAATTTAGGCCTATTGTTGACGAACGGAGGAAATGCGGTAGGTGTCAAATACGTCTTGTGTAGCGTATAAAAGAACGAAGATATACAAAACAAAGTAAAGTCAAGGATTTTTTTATGCATACCGATTTGATTTAATGAAGTAAAGCCCAGCACAGTCCGTAGGTATTATTTGTTCAAAATTTGCGTGGTACACAAACTCTATTAAGTACCACAGAGTTATCTCCCATGCTGGGTCAATGATGCGTTTGAAAACTATATTTAGAATGATTGTGTTAAGATTTCAATTTTTAATCAAAAAGAGCAAGGGCAATGCGACAACCCAAGAGGTAGGTTTTTATTTTAAATTCTTTACTTTATTGTATAGTTTTTAAAAAGTGATGCTCATTTCTTTATAATTCATTAGGCAATTTAAAATTTCCGATTAAATGATGAAAAATACCCTATTTTTGAATACTGGTGTTTGTTTTCAATGAATAACTTAAATATCCCAGAAATCTGTCTGAATGAGCATCAGTTTTTCGATAGAATAGATTCTAAGGGACACAATGAAACATTGTACAGTTCAAATATTGTATGCCTTGCCCTTGCACTTTTTGGTTACATTTGACATTTCATATTGGACCTAAAATCGGAGCTCACGTGACTGTAGAGGGTCACATGATGACAAAAAATACCGATGTGAAAAGCGATGGACAAACTCTTCATAAAGCCATTAAGATATTTCAGATAGAGTTTCATACTAAAAAATAAGACGGTTGAACTTTAAGTGTCTCGTTTTTGGTGCCTTTTTATAGAAAATGTTGCCTTAACTGTACTGCGATGCTCTTTTTTGATAAAGGCATCTCGAATATAGGTTTCCAGTCGTACCTACTGGTCAATAGTACTTCGGTTTTTTCTAAAACCGCATTGTATATGAGATAAAATATTATTGGTTTCAAGAAACCATATAAGGCGTTCATTAATCATCCTTTCCATGGTTTTACATAAGCAGCTTGTTAAAGCAATTGGTCGGTAATTATTAGGATCTGTATGGTCCTTTCCAGGTTTTGGAATAGGAATAATTGTAGCTTGGGCCCAGGAAGGTGGAAAATGACCTCGTTCCCAAATTGTATTAAAAATTTGGAGAAGACATTCTTTACTGTTTATAGGAAGGTGTTTAATTATTTGATAATGGATTTGGTCCGGTCCTACAGCTGTATCATGAGATTTTTGAAGTTCGTCAATAGTAAATGGATGATTATAGCATTCATTGTTTTCAGATGTAAAATCTAACTTTTTCTTTTCTTGTGAAATTTTATATTTACTACATTTTGGGCTCACATTATTTGTGGAGGAATTTTTAGATATTGTATTAGCTATTTCATTTGATATTTGTTTTTTATCCGTAATAATTTGACTTCCAACATTAAGATGTTGATATCTTTCAGGACCTTTTCCTTTAATTTTTCTTATTGCGTTCCAAACGTTATTGATAGGAGTATGCGAATTAAGGTTGGAAACGAAGTTTTTCCAAGATTTTCGTTTATTAAAATTTATAGTTCTCCGAGCTTTTGCTCTAAATATACGGAAATTGCTTAAATTTGGTGATGTTGGTAATCTATTAAACTGTCTTTCTGCTTTTTTGCGAGCTTTTATAGCATTTTTACATTCTTCTGTAAACCATGGTTTTTTAATTCTAGTAGAATTTGTCGAGGATTTAGGTATGCATTTATTTGCAGTATGTAATAGTATTTCAGTAAATTTTTGAATTGGATCAGGATTGTTTTCGAACTTTTCAGCCGAAATATTTTGTAAGCATAAGCTTTCAAATTGCTTCCAATCGGCCTTGTTTAGTTTCCAGTTTGGAGTAGAACTATTTTCCTCGGGTTTATTTACTTTAATTATAATTGGGAAATGATCACTCCCACATAAATCGTCATGTACTGACCAACTGAAATCCAAGAGTAAAGAAGGATCTACTAAAGTAATATCTATTGAAGAATATGAACCATTACCCGGATGCAGGTAAGTACTAGAGCCGTCGTTAAGTATACAAAGATTATGATGTGATATTGCATCTTCAATTTTTTTTCCCTTTATCTGTTATTTTGTCGCTACCCCATAATGGATCATGGGAATTAAAGTCACCCATAATCATAAATGGAGCAGGGAGTTGTTGTATTATTTTTGTAATTTCTAAAGTTTGTAAATTATAGTTTGGAGGTACATACACAGAACAAAGTGTAATTGTTTTTTCAAGAGGAAGACGTATAGCTACAGCTTGTAGATTAGTTTTCAAAGCTACTTGGCTGTGAATGTATTTATTGTTAATTGCTATTGAAGTACCACCAGATGCTCTCTCAGTTTGAGCATAGTGGTTATACATACTATAGTTTTTAATATTAATTTTATCTGTTTCTTTTAAATGTGTTTCTTGTAAACATATAGCTACCGGGCAATGGTCCTGAATAAGTAAAGATAATTCGTTAAAGTTGACTTTAAAACCTCGACAATTCCATTGTATAAACATAGGATGATTCATTTTTTATTTATTATGAGAAATGGGGGATATCCTCCCTTTATTTTTTTGGGTGACGTACTTCGAACTTGCGAGGAGGAATGGCAGGGTGTAATGTCCATCTCCTCGAAGACCCCAAAATTATTGTGGAGAGTGACGGCATCTCGTGCCCCTTTGGGCAAACGATCACTCGACTGCTTGGGGATGTTTTTGAGGGAGACTTGTTTTGTCTCCCTGTTGGTGTTGATTTATTCGCAGCCGATGGCTGTGATGTAGCCACAGCTACGGTTTTTGGTGCAGCCGCAACTGCAGGACCTGCAGAAGCAGGTATTGAAGTGGGTTTACCTTTGTCATTAGATGACAAAGGTATTTTACATGATGAGGCCTGCTGAAATTAGTCTTTTTCAGAGACCTGTGTAGACATGTCCTTCAAAGAGGACGATTTTACAACAGTTGCATATGTTGTCAAATTTGGTTTCGGGACACTGTACATATTTACCAATTTTTTGGCTTCTGAGTAAGGTATTCTTTTTTCAACCTTTACCTTTTGTATCTCTTTCTCTTTTTTCCAAATTGGACAATGTTTAGAGGAATCCATGTGCCCGCCCTTACAGTTTCTGCATTTGGGGTCTTTTTGACAACTTTTACCATCATGTCCCTCTTCACCACACTTGAAGCATGCTTCAGAGGCTTTACAATTGGATTGTCCATGTCCAAACCGCTGACATTTGAAACAACGCAGCGGATTTGGAACGAACATCTCGATTTTCATTTGGTAGAGCCCAACCTTTATATTTGTAGGAAGTGTTGGCATGCCAAAAGTCAAAAGGTATGTATTTGTTGGTTCGATAATATCATTCCGTTTTTTGGTAAATCGTTTAACAGAGATCACTCCCTGGGCTTCTATTTCAGATTGAATCTCCTGTTCAGGAATGTCATCCAGGTCGTGATCTCTGTCGAACAGTATGCCTTTGCTTTGGTTTAATCCACTGTGGATTTTACCAATAACAGGAATATTGGCAAGCATTTTTAAACCTAACAAGGAAGTTGATTGTTGTTTTTTGGTAACTTCAATAAGTAGAGCACCAGATTTCAACTTTTTGACATTTTTGGGAGTACCGATGATGCCTTGAATACCTTTTTGAATGACAAATGGCGATACCTTTGTTAAAGGCTTCGTATGTTGGTCTGATATTTGTGCTTCAAGTGTGATGAAGCGGGGCCAATGTTCCACAACAGAATTAAGTTGTTCATCGTTAAAAGAAATATCGAAACCTGCTGGGTAACAACGTTTTTTATGAGAGAGCCATGATTAGAGGAAAAGAGTTTCAGAATCCTTGCTCCCCGTCCGCCTCGGAGCGCCAACAAGGGCGATATCTAGTCAAACGGATATCCAGTAAGAATGACACCAAGAAGATACAAAGAAACTATACTGAGACACGATATGCCTGATTGACCCTCAGCCACCGATTAATATATAAATATCAACTTGGAAACGTAGGCGTATTGGAAATTGCAAAACAGAGACAAACAGATAATTAAAAATACCAGCCGATTGATCAAGTCGGGCCAAACTTGACCTCCCGTCTAGATGAATATGGGGCCAAAGTGGAGTGTTGGTCTATCAGGTGCATTATACCCAGCACCTGCAGACCTCAGCCACCAGGATCCCCTTCTCCACCAACACGGGTCGCAACCCACGGCCAACAGGTTGCCCCATTTAGTCGCCTCATACGACATGCAAGGGGGTGCCAGGGACCTATTCTTGTCACCCCGGGTCCCCACGGGGGCCGGATTGATTTATTACTATATCATTGTCAATGTCTTAAGAAATCTGTGGGCTTTGCATAGATTTATGAATTGCATAAGTATGAGCCATATCATAATCTTGAAGTAGAAGTACCCACTGCATCAACACGTTTGTCAGTGTTGTTTAACTGCATCGGCGCAATACTGGATTCATTAGAGCTGTCAAAAACACGTCCACTACTAGCCGCCGCCATTGGAATACTAATGTATTGTATTTGTAGCTTTCAACATAAAATTTATCTGAAATAATTTTGAATATCTCTTAATTTTCTATTGGACAATAGCAATTCGTCAAAATGAGACTTTTATTTTGATTGACAGCTTCTTAGTACTATTATGGCTGATATACATGTAAGGCTGAAATACTGCCGACGCGGCGTTAAACAATAATTAATCTTTAATTAGCAATACCTTTACAACTACATGTACATCTCGACTACAATTAAAAAAAATCAGCACGATAAAAAGCCATGAAACAAAGAAAAGCATTCATTTTTCCTAAGGGCGAACCTCGCATAAAGCACATCGAGATGCAGTATTTCTTTTCTCTGGAATGGATTTTAAACACATTTTTTAAAAACAATATACTAGGTAATGGTCGATAGTATTTTTTATGCCCCCGGATCGAAGGATCCCGGGGGTATATTGTTTTTGTCCTGTCTGTCTGTTTGTCTGTTTGTTTGTCTGTTTGTCTGTCTGTCTGTTGTCAACTTTAACCTTGCCCATAACTTTTGATGGGTTGGAGCTTTGACTTTCATATTTCACATGTGTATTCCTTGTGACAAGACCTTTCTTTGGGTACCATCATATTTGACCTTTTGACCTTGGACTTTGACCCACTTTTGCAAAATTTTTTGAGACTTTAACCTTGGCCATAACTTCTGAACAGTTGGAGCTGGGGGTTTCAAACTTCACATGTGTATTCTTTGTGACAAGGCCTTTTTTTGGATACCAACCACTTTGAACTTTTGACCTTGACCTTGGACTTTGACCTACTTTTGAAAAACTTTAACCTTGGCCATAACTTTTGAACAGTTGGTGCTTAGGGTTTCAAACTTCACATGTGTATTCCTTGTGACAAGACCTTCCTCTGGATATCAACCACTTTGACCCTTTTGACCTTGACCTAGGAGTTTGACCTACTTTTGAAAAACTTTTACCTTGGCCATAACTTTTGAATGGTTGGAGCTAGGGCTTTCATACTTCACATATGTAATCCTTGTGACAAGACCTTCCTTTGAATACCAACGACTCTGACCTTGACCTAGGAGTTTGACCTACTTTTGAAAAACTTTAACCTTGGCCATATCTTTTGAATGGTTGGAGCTAGGGCTTTCATACTTCACATATGTAATCCTTGTGACAAGACCTTCCTTTGGATACCAACCACTTTGACCCTTTGACCTTGACCTAGGAGTTTGACCTACTTTTGAAAAACTTTAACCTTGGCCATAACTTTTGAATGGTTGGTGCTAGGGCTTTCATACTTCACATATGTAATCCTTCTGACGAGATCTTCCTTTGGATACCAACCACTTTGACCTTGACCTTGACGTTTGACTTTTTTTTTAAAAACTTTAACCTTCACCATAACTTTTGAACAGTTGTATCTAGGTCTTTCAAATTTCACAGGTGTTTTCCTCGAGACAAGATCTTTCTTTGGGTATCAACATTTTTTATCTTTTGGCCTGGATTTTGACTTGCATTTGAGAAACTTTAACCTTCGACATAAGCTGCCATACGGGGGCATAGTGTTTCACAAACACATCTTGTTTTGGATGGTGTCCGAAGTATTCCGATTAGTTGTTGAGCAAATCAGGCTGTTTGTACTGTGGAAGGGTTTCTATGAAAAATGCATTAATGGTAGCTGTATTCATTGAGAAATATAGAAAGTATTTTCACTATTTTTTGCTAGGCCTGCCAACGGAATACATTTTGCCTTCACAGTCAGATTTCTATGGCTTGATGAATTCTATTAGTATTTATATCGAATTCAATCAAACTTGCATAAAATATTTAGTCAAAATAAGAAACATGGTATATACAATAAAATTAATTCATCAATAGCTATCAGGAATTGGTGCGTAGTGGATACACAGATTTTTCAATATCTGCTTTCGTGATTGCGTCGTTATCCCTACGATCATCATATTATTAAAATATACAATTTAATGGCAGAAAAAAAATCTTTAATTTTTTTGTGTTTGTAAAATTTATACAATTTTAACCGAAAAAAGTTCATGTAGATCAAAAGAAAATAAACAGAAAGTCTCAACACTTTGCTGCATTTCATTTCCAAATTAAAAAAAAAAATCCCACTTTTCATTTCCTACATTTTTAAGAGTTTTTTTTCCCGACATGAATAAAACAGTATTTTTACAGGCAGTAAAACTGAAGCTGAAGACTTTCCTTATCGAAAATCAAAATCTTTAAACACTAAATAATTGACATACAAATAAGGTACATGGTTTGCTTTGCTTTTAAAGAAACCAATGTTGAGTCTGAGATCAGTATCAATGTGTCGGGCATGAATTAGGTGCAGTCACTGACATAACATAATCCAAGCGTAATTGACATTTTAGAGCGATTATTCATAATTTTGGTAGACATAAAATGCATATTCAATCACTTTGTATATACAATATTCCAATTATTTGGGGGGGGGGGCATAAGTGTTTCACAAACATCTCTTGTTTACATCACCTCTGTGAAAAATTTTTCTCTTTTTTACGGTTTTTGGAAATCTGAAAATCAGAAGAATGTGTATATATTGGTGTTTCATTACGAAAAAATACGTTGTCCCAATATATCTTCAATGACGGATCTTATACACACAAAAGCGAAAAAACTCTACTTTTCCTTTAAAATGATAACCTGTAGCAAACTGAGATACTGACCTTCAGAAAACATGATTATTTGACCTTTTACCCCATATCATACCCACAATAAGTAAGTAAGACCTGTTACTGCTGTTAAGAACACGAATCTTGCACCATTACGTTCTTCTGATATGTAAGACGTTAAGCCATATCAATATCATTCTCTGTCCAGAGTTGTCTTCCGCGCTGATCCAAACACCTCGGTTAACGCTCCTTGTACAAGATTCTTGTTCAGGTTTTAAAAAGAGAATATTTAAACTTCAAATCATAATAAAATTTAGTGTAAATTTCAATAGATATAACAGTTTATCATCTATACTTATAAATTAATAAATTTTGCAAATAAACTCCGAAACGGGTGCACCAGAGTTCTTACTTACTCCTCTGAGAATACACATGATACAAGATGATGTCCGTAAACTATATTTAGATTTCACTTGCATTGTAAGTATCGTACATTAAATTAAAAGTCTACTTTTATTTTCTATAAACAGCCATGAAATAGCAAAAACGTGAGTAAGGTGGCGTTTTCGGTTGGCGGATCTAAGTTACTTGCAATTTTTAATGAAACTGACAACAAGCAATCGTTTATTTATTTTATTAAACGTCATTACTGAATTATTCAATCAAAACTTGATTTAAGTGATATAAAAGAAATAAGTTGTGGTAACTGATTAAAAAGGAAAATGTGCAAATTATTTTCGTCATTCACCGATCGTAATATTGACGGAAGCTTCTAGAACATCATATAGCATCGAGCCCGATGTTAAAAAGAAAAACGAAGCGATTATAGCTGCTTTAACATAAAAAAAGCTTTTGTGTGAATGGTCATTGAAATAATGGTAAATCATTGATAACACTGTAAGTTGTGAATATATTTATATATAGAAAGACTATTACATACACTGTATAAGTAGTAGGTTTTCCTAATAAATTTATCGGTAAAATTTGTATATATATATTCCTCACTGAGAGCATCGTGGCAACGAACCCGAAGTACAATTTGTACTTCGTAATAAACTTGCTTACATGAAAAGAGAATACTAATGAATAAGGCATTATTCAAATACAATTATGCTGTAATTTTTTGTGCTTTAATCAATACATTTCAGTTTTTTCTGAATACAGTCTTTGTGTGAAATACTCGGCCTATTCCAGTGGCAGATCCAGGAATCTTGAAAAGGGGGGGCAACTAGTTTGGGGTTGGGGTAGGGGCCCACGGACACACAAAAAAAAATTGATTTATTAAATTTTATGTATATTTTGGACATAAAACGGGAGGGGGGGGGGGGCTGGGCCCCCTCTCTGAATTCGCCAGTGTACTCATAGGGCGTTATATAAAAGCTATTTTTTACACAGGTACTTGGGCCTTGGATTATGAATATGTATGTATGTACCTTATTGATATGTAAAAAAAAAAAGAGGTAAGGTACAGTTTTTACATATCAATAAGGTACATACATATTTATAATAGCATAATATAATATGCTTTCCTAGCACGTTCTGATAGTTGTTCAGCTGCAAATTTCATTTTTCCATTTATAAACCAAGACCCGAGTACCTGTGAATTTTTACAAAAAGAAATATTTTTCTCAGTAAAATGTGCATATTCACTGCTTTTATTCTTGACGGAAATGCATAAGAGCATCAGAAGTACAATATCCATAACATAGTATATACAATATCCATAACATAGTATATAACAGGTTTCACAATGAACGTCAATTAATGATATTGTTATTTAAGCTTTACAGGGGGGGGGGGGGGCAGGGGGTTAGAGACGTACTTCTACTTCATGCGGGATTTTGAACAAAGTATTTCTTCCTACCATAAGCTGTCAGTAGAAACTACAGTATATATATTGTTAGATTTTTTCTGTCGGAAGTGGTATAAATTCAATTCCCCGCGCTTGCGCGGGATTTCATCTAGTTTATTTTAAAACTATCGTTCCTGAGAACGATTTATCTACTCTGTTATTAAGTAACTATTTTAAAATCTAAAAAAATACTTTAAGGGGATAATAGATTAAAAATAAGTTCTTTTTTACTGATGATTAATATGATTTAAAAACTTTTCTAATTTAATTTTTCACCATTTACAATTTTTCCAAGAATCTTGTACACCGATTGTTGACAAAGGTGTATACAGGAGCGTAGTGGGAACGACAACATCAACATATTAAAAGTACAATTTAATTGTGCCATTGACATCAAATATTAAGGTTCATTTTTTTCCAAAAAAAAAAAAAAATAAAATTGGAACCGAGGCATCCACCAGAGCAATTATTGCTTAGTGGATTAATTAGTTATATTTGCTCGTCCTTTCAAAATATTGCACGCATGGCAAAAGATCTGGGATATCTCCTTAGAAAAGCAGAATCTTGGATATATTGTACTGCAGAACATGACCATCAAATGTTCCTAATTATGTAACATAAATATCTTTAATACAGTGAAACCTGTATAATCCGATATTCACTGGGAGACAAATTTTGTGTGGGGGTAAACATGATGTCGGATTGCACAGTGTAAAGAACGTGGTCATTAGTAGGATTGGGTATGAAATTGAATGTCGGAATTCACATTGAAACGGAAACGGATTGCATGAGTGTTTAATCAGTTTCCACTATTATTTTTTTTACAATAGATAGTTTTCAGTAGGCCCAAATTATCAAGAGTTATTTCCCGTTGGTCGCCATATTGGAGGTCAACATGCTCATATTCCTTCATTATTTAACCAATTTTAACTTTTTATACTGGCCATTGTGGGGTAGGAAGCATTGTTTTCTAAAAATATACATTTGTTAAAGCCTCCTTTTTTCCATAAATTTTATTCCATAAAGATTTTCCTCCAAATATTTCTGCTACACCCTCTTAAATTTGTTTAGACAAAGAGGAAAAATTACCAGGTTGACCACCAAGATGGCGGCCAAGGGAAACAACTCAGAAAATACGTCGTATGAAAATCATCTATAGAGCAATCTTCATTCTAATTATCCATTCAGGAGCTTCATGTGCCAGGGATTGTAAATTAGAACGAATAATTTTTAATTTCCAATTTATTACAACACACACACACACAATGTACAGGTTTAACTGGGTACACTCAGTACAGAAAATTAACAATAATATATTGCTTCAAGAAACAGTTCAACCACAAGACCCCTTCAAAAATATAATCGTTTTGTTCCTCTATATAAAACATTGCAAAAAAAAAAAAGAATAAATGTAACAACATGATTGACATAGATTTTAAATTGTCTCTTTAATCAGTACCGTTTCGTCTAATTGATGGGTTGTCGTCAATCTGTAGCTTCTCATCTTTAAATATTGATCTGTTAAAAAAAAATGTTTCATAAATCTAAGCGTACTTTTTATAACTCTCGCATATTGTCTTATAATCATTTAAATGTTCATTGAAATACTAAAGAGTTACTATTGGATATGAATATTTAATTATGTATACCTAGTGATGTTTGATTAACATCATGGTCTCCTTGACAGGAATCCCGGAGATTACTGTAGGATACCAAGGCCGGCTCCAACTTGCCGGGTACCAGGGACCGTTGAGAAAGGCTATTCTACAACTGTTAAACCACCACCCTCCCCTTGTGCTACTGGAATTAGCACAGTTCTTGTCACTTCTGTCATTATCCCTGTCTGGAGTACTGAAGTACATACCAGACAGGTTATTGCGAGAAAGAGCTGTGTTTAACATACTGTCACCTACACAATAAAGGAATAAACTATGTTAAATATACTGTTACCTACACAATAAAGGAATAAACTGTGTTAAATATACTGTTACCTACACAATAAAGGAATAAACTGTGTTAAATAAACTGTCACCTACACAATAAAGGAATAAACTGAATTTATCATACTGTCACCAACACAATAAAGGAATAAACTGTGTTTAATATACTGTCACCTACACAATAAAGGGAAATTATTGAGGATAAACCAATCTTATGTATTTATATAGAAGTTAGGATTCAATTAACTTTAGGATCTGGTTTTAAAACAACAATTAAAAAATTCTTTTGGGTGCACAGGCGATAAACCGAGGTACATGTAAGCCTTATAAAAGTACAAGTTTCAGGGTGTGTCAGATTTCTGTTAACGCTAACATGCTAAGCATTGTCATTACCTAGTCTTCGGTTTTCAGATATCTATACTACATTATTAGATGTAAGTCACTTCTGATATTTTTATCAACTAACTTATTTCAATACCCTGTCAGATTTACATTAATCTCTCTCTTTCTCTGGTTTGTTACACGTACCTAAGGTTCCCGTGGCAGGCCCTGCAAGAAAGAGTTTATACTTTTCCGCTTCATTGGACACGGAGAATTGATCGTACAACTCGTACAGTCTATCTTTGTGTTTTTTAATGGAAACATAGAGGGATGAGACCTTTCCCTTTGTTATCTGATGAATTACGTCATTACCTGTATTAAGGTATAATTGAAATTAATTGATAAGTGCACTGCAATAAAATTAATTTTTGAGTTCATATTGTAAATAAATATATCCTAAAGACGAACAAGTAATTTCCTAAAGTTATATGATTTATAATGTATCCTTCAGTATCTTCAATATGTATATATTAAATTTTAATTCTTGTCATTTTGTAAGAGAGAGTATTGTTAACAAGGTATTTTCTCTATTCAATTTTATTTAAGAGTTCATTAACAGGCAGTGAATAAGAATTGTCGAATACAATATTACATTGTCTTAATATCAGATCAACGATTTGTTGCCAAATTTGAAAAATTTGCTACAATGGTCATTTGTCAAATTGCGGATCAAAGACTTATGCTTACCGATCCAGAAATTCTGTTCCGCGGCACCAAAACCATTCTTATAATCTGTCCAATTTCTGTCAAAGCTTAGGGATCCATCTATTCTTTTCTGAATTGCCTTGAAAAGTTTTACATATATAATTCATTATTGTGTAAAACATTTGCTTGATCTATATGTATCGGGTATCGTACGAATCCCTTAGACGTCAAAATCAATGATTCGAGTTTATGTAATATACATGATATAGGATATACAACATGATGTAGGATATACAACATGATGTAGGATATACAACAATTACAAAATAACATACCGTCCATCCACCATCCATTGTGTCCATGTCACAATATACCCTGATAGGGCGGGAGCTGGTTCCAAAGGGATAGATTTCGTACACCCCTGTATTAGGGCGACAATTATTTCGGAGGTCATTACAATCTACAGGAAGATCTATAAAAATGACGAAATTCCACTTTAAAATTTAAGAGCTATTTTATATGATAAGATAATAATTCAAACAAGTGCAAATTTAAACAGGCAATAAGAAGTAGATGAGTAGAATTTGTATAATATGTTAAAGATCATAGTTTTTATACCATTGTCAACATGAATACAATTAGTACTCTTGTTCACTTTCTCTTACCACTATAAACTCATTATAGCAACAAGTTAAACTAAATGAAAAATTAAAAAAACAGACAAAAAAAAAAGAATGATGGAGATGATATTAGAAATCACAAATTATGATATTTGAAAAATCGATTTAGATTAATTACAATTGAGAAAGCTAATTAAATGCTGAAACAAGATAGTTAAATTAACAAGATAGTTAAACAAGTGAGTTAATTTGAAGTTACTTCGTTGGAAAATATTTCAGAATAACTATAAATGAATCTCTTGGACCTGCTTCAAATGCAATCATAACCGCTGTGGAGTATTGCTGGTTATTAAATCTCATGTTTTGTGAGAGAATACATACAGTGATGAGAATAGTATCTCCATCCCGTCTCGTCCGACATTCCGGAAGTGATGTTTCTCCTGTGTATACGGCACTTCTTCAAACTCGGATTATAACCAAACAGTCTACATGTACACTCCCCTTGACAATTCAGGCCGCACTCGAACAACGACCCAGAGCTGTATTCTCCTAATAGTTCATTATTTGATATTTTATTATCAAATTCCGGTTTAGTAATGAATTCCCGAGTAATAAAGATACCTCGAGAGACCGCAAAGACGACGGCAATTAAACAAATAATACAAAGATCACTCATTCTGTCCTTGTGTGTAAGGCACTGCGTTCCAGGAATAATTTGCAAGTTGATGCTTCAGCCGCAAAGTATAAATATTAGAGCCTTTATCTATTACAGAGAAGTGATTGGCTACTGGTGACATATTCTGTATTTGACATCACTGAAATGTCGATTTTTTAGATGGAAAGGATTGGAGGTCTTAGACGGGAAATATGAAATCCGATATATACATTAATATTGCAATGGAATCTCTATCATTCATAGTATTAGATATTCATATAACTTTTGATCCATGTAATGAAAAGGATGATAATACATCTTTTCTTCATTTTTTGAGCGATTCTAATATACCACTTAGGTACATACTACTGTTTGCAAGTTAAAAAAACTTCATACAAAATAATTGCAGGAACCGCCTTTATAAGAAGGCCTTATTTTATTTGTAATATTGCCAAGCTAGTATGCTTAGAAACGAATTCATACTTGCATAAAGCTTTATGCTAGGGTAGTTGTATCGCGTTGTTCTTACCTGAAATTGCTCATCTTTTCAACGCAGATGTCACACTTCACATAAATATCACACAAATATCACATAAATATCAGTTTATATGTCAATTACAATACATTGACCTCGAAATTATTTATCTATATAATTACTTTGATAAATAATTGCAATTTAATTTTTTTAGAATTAATTTTGTTTATAGATTTGAACCAATGTTTTCCGTTTTCTTAGAAATACAAATTTAAATATAAAACTGGCTACTTTAGAAATATAAGGGAATCCTCGATTTTAAAATCTACTTTACAAACGACTCATATGTTTGCAATTACAATCTTTTGGTAAGTCAAATATCTATTGACATCTTTCCTATTTCCTAAGTATTATCCCCCCCCCCCTAGTTTTCAAATATATCATAAATTTTATTGTATACCATGTCATTACATCACATCAGTCGTTTTCTCTCTGCGAGCATTTAAATGCGCAAGAAGGTGCACTTGTCCGTTTAGGTGCTTAATCAGTACAGTAGTTCATAATCAGAAGCCTGTAACAAAATATATATTGATTCTAAATTATATAATACACAAACAAGTTTTCGTTTGTTTGTCTCTTGTTTAACGTCTCTCTCGAGAATTTCTCAAGCAAGAAAAGTACTTCAAGTTAATCTAATGTACAAAACAAGCCTGTGCAATTGACAACTGCTTTGATTTTTCATTTTCCTGTTTTGTACTCCTTTAGAATGAATGCTAAAGGATAAGATAAGGCATCAATGAAGATTAAAATTATTTCATTATGGCAAATTCAGTATCTTTGCCTTTTTAATAACAGTTCTTTTCTATACGTGTTTTTGTAAATATGAATCAACTACAAGATTATTTAATTACAAGTTACAAATAATATAAAGGATTTAAAATGAAGAAAAATTTAAAACTCATATACGATTTTGAAGCATTTCTTTCTTAGAAAATGAACTATGAGTACGAGTTGGATAACCCCTAGTAGAATTTAAATTTCTTCTAAAAGGCAATTATTTGTAATAATGAGTCTTACAAACAAAGATTGTGTTGGTATATGCTTTGGGAGCTGGGACCTGTACGTATTGATCATGTAATCTATCAAATTCCTTTATCACTTTTGAATTACTGAAGAAGGGTAGATGGAATTCATAATGCCCCTCAGCTGCTTAACCGTTTGACACGATACTTCAACATCCACCTAATACATTTACTTTTAATTACTATGCCTACGTCTCTGTGTTTGTTGAAAAAGTCCCATCACATTGACGTTGTTATATTGTGGACCTGAAGGATTTTTTCCACACACTCAATATTGTCATTGCAACCATATGAAAAAGCAGTACCTAATGTCCAGTATTCTTCTTCTTGTCTATGGAAAGCCATGAGAATTGTCAGAACAGTCTGTAAAAATGCTTAAAACCAGAGTCTGAAAACGTTTAAAGTTTTTCTAACGAGGGTAAAATAGGTTTGTCAAATTATTTTCAGGTACTTTTATTTCTTTGCAACAAGTATCTACTTCATGTGTATTTCTTCGTATGAAGATGAAAATTCCTTTGATTCATTAATACTGATTCAGAGGGTGAAAATACGGAATAGTGTATTAAAGGGAGAAATAGAGTTAGAGGTTGAATAGAGTGTATATAGATGGATTAGATAAAAAAAATAGTGTATCTATAGGTGAATTAGATTTGAGCTTGGAATAGAGTATCTTAAGATGAATTAGATTTAGACTTAAAAATAGTGTGTTTACACATGAATTTAATTTATACTTGCAATTAAATAATGTTTGTGAAAAAATGAACAGTGAATTATTTTTTTTACTCAATTGAAATAATTCTTAACATCACTTTATTCCGAAGCGTGTTGTAATTTTTTGTCAAATGTGACAAAAGCCAATGAAATATTAAAGTCTGGCTTCCTTTCTCCTATTATATTTACTTGGTGTTGTTATCATATTACTCCACTTATTTATAACTCTAGGCATCATAAACAGGCTTTCCTTATAAAAAATAATGTCGAAATCTAATGACTAATGCAACGTATAAGGGGATTCTCCTCTATAATTTAAAAAAAATATTGATTGATTAGTAGAATGCTGGATGCATACATGAACCAGTTTTAAGCAATGGTGATTATACGAAAGATAACATGTCACGAGCATTTAAATTATTTAGTTAAAAATGAAAAGGAAACCTTATTATCACAAACAGGTAGCCGTGTTCCATTCTTTTCTACTTTGTTAATGTCCCTGATTAATTTATGATAAGCCAACAAATGGTGTAGATTAATTCAACCATTACACTAAATCGTGCAAGCATTTATAGACTTAACTATTGTGAAGAATTCTCGCGAGATTTTTTTAAAATTCTAAATGAAAAGGCGACACTTATAGCTATAAAAAGATATTCAAATTTCATAGAATATCTACTTTTCGATAACTTCTGATGAGTTCTTAGAAAACAAATATCATTGCCTCTGACATGTTCCTCCTGTTGAAAAGCATGCACAGAAATTGGTAATGAGTAAAAAGCATTATACACTTTAAGCATTACAAAGTTTATGTATTTATTTCTGCTTAGAAAAATGTGTTGAAATATACACGTTTAGCGAATGCATCTAACATCCGTCTAATAGATAAACTGAACCTTTGTTTGAATAATTGTTTTTATTAATGAAGATAAAATAAGATATTAATTTCTCTGGAAAAGAACCGGTTCTTTTACATTGCTTAAATGTTTTATTTTAAGACTCGAAACATTTCACACAAAACGTGATTCTCCAGGAAAAATGGTAAAGAAATAAATATATTTCTTTTGCCAAGTTTGAAAACTTTCCTGATAATCTTGAAATAACTCCAGTATATATATCTATCTACCCATCTATCTATCTACAGTACCGACCAGACACAACCTAACAGAAAGCGAACCCAGTGCGCACCCCGGGTTCGCTCTCTGGATTCGCTTCGGGTCCGCTTGGGGTCCGCTAGTGCTGACCCCGAGCGAACCCGGAGCGCACCCGTAGCGAACCCGCAGCGAACCCAGAGCGGACCCAGAGCGAACGCTGAAAGCGAACCCCAAATTCAGTAGCGGTCCCAGGAAGCGAACGCGCGTTCGGTGTTGCGTAACAAAGCTGTCAATCAGGATTAGCGATTAACTCATCAGCGCGTCGACCAATCAACATGCCGATCAGGTCTGTCAATAAGGATAAGTGATAAAATGCGGTGACCATCAGCGTATCGACCAGTCAACATGCCAGTTTGTAATCTAAACATTGTACAAGCAAAGCGTGTGAATGTACAGTGTAAAAATATTATTAATATGATTTTTAAACATGATTTTACATTTATATATATTTTAATTCTCCGGGCAACATGCAATATTTACACATCTATTTTCATTATTTTTTTATTTTTAAAATATATTAATACATTATATATTTTTATTATCCAGGTAGCATGTTACATGTATAGTTACATATTAATTTTCTTTATATTTTTAAAATCCATTAATATATAAATATACATTGCGTAAATTTATCAGACAATAAGTACTTTAATTCATAATAGAAAAAAAAGAAGATAATAATGGTTATAACAATTGTTACTTAAAAAAAAAACTGGTCTTCGATAAATTAAAGAATTCTATTATCTCAAGATACAGTATAAGAACATGCAAGTGCTTTAATTTAATTATTGTTTATTCATTATTTCAATTTACATGCACTTTTTAATGTATCCAGATCAACATCGAAATTATCGATCTTAATGATTGATCATGAAAAAAAAAAATTAAATGTACATTGTACAGTATAAATGTGCATTATGTCAATACGTAAATTGGAGAAAAAAATCTCATTTTTTGTTAACTACTATGATTTTTTTTAATTAATCTTTTACCAAAATTTAATAAACAGCTTGATTTAAATACATGTATATAGGGAAAGATTTTTTTGTCAATTTTAATTATCCTACATGTAGACCTTACATTGTATGTTTTTGAATTTTTGTAACTACTTGCAAGTAAGTCAAAAAAAAAAAAATGCTTATCACTTTCCTTCGTGTCGATATATATAATTATACAGGTTTACATGTTCACGAACCTCTTACATGTACTACATGTAATTTTCGAAATACTTTATATGGATATAAAAAAAAATACTAGACGGGTACGTTTTGTACTTGTGCATGAAAAGTACACGTAATTCCAACATTAGTAAACTGAGCTGGCAAAGATACCTTAATACGAAAA